TGTGCTCCTCTTTCATTACTTATTCTGTTGAATATGTACTACGTATGATATCTTCATCATTGAAAAACATATGGTCCTGAAATTATTTAATGCCTTCAAACTGTTAGGTATTAAGATTTATTTTTGAAAAATCTACACAATTAGTAAAACATTTTCTATTATACTTTTTTTTTTCTCTTGAGGGGTCTTACTACATCCAACAATGGAGTCTCTGATTAGGGGACAGAATTAGGGTACCCTGAACCATTGTTAACTACTGGTGATCTTTGGTTAAGAGGTAATCACTTGTTTGCCTCCTCAACTGTGTTATGTTTATTTTTTGTTTTTTCACACACAGTAGAGATATGGGGATTTTTTGTTTTTTTGTGTTGATGGAATGATTAACATAAATGAAAATAGGATAAGAGAGTAATTATCACTGGGTAGAATCTTTTATATATATATATATATATATATATATATATATATACTTGCATGTACATGTAAATTTATTCCTCAGGCATTATAAATACAGTGCTCAATGTTATGAAACAGAGTTAGTAAATATATATAATATCCAATATTGTATGAAAAACTTTGAGTTGTGCTACCAGTCTTATAATCTAATATTCATTAATATATATATATATATATATATATATATATATATATATATATATATATAGTGAAATGAAAGATCATTACCGTTTCAAGTAGAGTCTCTTGATATGTTTCCTAAGAAAATTCTTACTGTGTTTGCTTCCTTTTTTTATGGAAGATTGAAGAAGCTGGTGGACTGGATTGTTATTAATGATTGGACTATAAAATGCTAGACAAGTCATAGCATGTTAAGCATTCTGAGAAGAATTGTAGCTGGCAGATGGCACAAAAGTCGATATACACTCAGTATTGAATGGGTCACCGTGAAGAAGGGGTACGATGTTATAAGACCTGAAACCCCTAAGATCCTCGGCTAAAAACATCACTGATGATGAGTGCCAAAGCATCAAACCGATTGTATTTCACAAAATAATTGCCAAATATTTAAACATTTTTGTTTGTTTTGAAGAGAAAAACTCAATGTGTAAATCTTACATTTGATTAAAGTATCTTTCTTTTCATAACAATATATATCTGTATTGTGTCTTTTTAAATATTTATTAAATTACTAAGGAACTAAAATATTAACTTTTTATTTTTATAAAAAAATGTCTATATATTACATTAGTCAAAATGCATTCAATTTAAAAGTTGGTATAGATGCAAAATGAGGAGAAAAAAAAACTAATTTTACAAAAACAAGAGTAACAAACATTGTACTTTATTAAACGTTTTTTTTCCTCCCCAGAAGAGGAAACACTTATACTGAAACATTAAAATTAACATGGAACCTATTACTTTTTCTTAGAAAGTTTGCAATGTGTTAAAATCTTTACAAAGTTCATTCATATTGCCATATTAAAAATAATGGACACCAGTGTAAACTGGACACCTCTTCAATATTTAATAACTATATCTATGGGAATTATTTTTTTATCATTTTCTTTCTACTTGTGTAAGAGATTCAAAATATTATACTGTTTGTTGAAATTCATGACTATAAATAAGAAACTGTCACCTTGACATTTCTTTTTGTTGTGTGTAATCAGAACCAATATACTTGAACAGTATATCCATATTTTTCCATATTATGTGAAATTTGAAAACCTCTAATTTGATATTATCATAAATCTACTGCTTTTTGATGATGTAGTAAAATACCCAGGTGAAAAAGGACTTGCAGAAACGTTCTTGGATCAATCCTCTTCCAAATATCAAATTTTTTAAGGGCTCCTTAATTGAACTGAGAACGTTTCAACAACTCCTTTTCTTTAAAATATTTTGTGACTATAAAGAAAAATAAAAAGTGAGCTTTGATAAAAATATCTAATTTTTAATTTTATTTAATTTTTTTAAGAATTTTTATTGCAGCAGGATAATAAATTTTATAGGTGGCCACCAATTTTTAATGGTAAATATTAAGGCCAAATTAGGATGCCTGCACTAAAATGCTCTGAATTTTGTTAATTGCTGTATGGCCACTGAAAGCAGAATTCTAAAAGGGAGATCTTGTTCTGGAAGTGTCTGTAAAAGTTTTCACCATTGAATTAAATGGATTGCCAGAGCAGGAGATTCCCTTGATGGAATCAATAGCTATATTTCATGCCAAAAGCGTTACTTTAGGTAGGAGGACATTAACTGTCGTTTTACCTGGAAAGAGATGGATTCTGCCACATCTACTTGCCCAAGACACACTATACATGAATGAATGAATACCTCTCCAGTTTTTAACTCCAGTATGAGAAGTGAAATGGTCAGGTTCTCAGTTGAGTAGCAACCCTATAACCACACCCAATAAAGCTAAAACAGTTTTTTTTTTCACATCAATCTCCAAACTTTTCTCGTTCTGTAAATATGAAAATAGTTTGGAGAAAAGTACTTGCCATAGAATTATATAGCATTTTCTCTTGTAAGTAGTTTTTAGTGAGAATAGACACTCTGTTTTATAGATTTAGTTCTATGCTATAGTCGACTTGGTTCAAAAAATATGTATTGAAAGGGCACTCACTGTGGTTTTAAATTAAGCCTGTTAGTTTTGTAGGCCGTTGGTAATGAATTTCTTCCTCTCTACACCATAAGCAGAGCCTTATACCCAAGATAGCTTATGGCTACATCACGTTAAAACCCCAGTTCCTGTACGATCACTGATGTTAAGTGATGTTGGGCCTGGTACCTAGATGAATGACTGCTTGGGAATACCACTTGCAATAAGCTTAGATGTGTGGGTGGTGTAATAGATAATGGCTTAGAAATGTTAAAATTCCACTTGTGGTTTGTACTATATTCATTTACATGCAAATACCCTTGGCAAAGGTATGAATCCACCTCTTCTCCCTTTCCACCAGCTATAAGTTAATTAGTAAGATTTGTTTCACTAAAATCATTATCTCAAAAAAAATTCTTACAATATAAAAACATTTTCTGGCTTTAAATAACCTGCAGAGTTGATAAGCCATATAAAACGAATCAATCAATATAGCTAAGGTGAATGCATTCAATAAATGCCTAAAATATTTGGCAAAATATCTTTATCATAAACTGATAATTATGCTTTAAAATAACTGTTAATTATTGTACTTTATCCCATACTTATATTTGAATCAATCCGATAGCTACAGCATTTAGTAGCATTCATTTTCTTAGGAATAATTTAATCTGTAATGCTTTCAAAATGTTCTTATATGTAGTTCAGTGTTTGCAAGGGTATCATATGTAACATTATTCAATTGTTTTCAGTGTTCTCCACCATTTAAAATGAAGGCTGATGTATTACTAATAGCAGTTGTACAAGTGGCTATTTTACTTGTATCTATTAATGTTTTTTTTTTCTTTTAATCCTGTCATAAGTACTTCTGTTCTCTTATACTGTTTTCTAGATAACCATCTGGTATCTTTTTGTTAAATTTCTAACCTTCATTTTACTGTGTGTCATTGGAAAAAAAATTCTTAGATAATTCTGATATTTTTATTCAGTAATAGACATGCAAAGTTTTCGGCTTTAATTTGTCATGAGTTCAAGACAATTCTAACGATTCCCAATGGTGTGACTAAAGCCTGCAGTTTTTACTTTTCACTGTGATTGAAAAGTAGTCTGTAGTCAGTAAATGCAAGCAACTTTCTCGTTATATTTTCAATCGCTAAATGATGCACAGTAAACGATTTACATGTTGCATCTTTTTGTGATAAATATGAATTAACATGTAGAGTGGCAATCCTACCTGTGAGTGCAGTGCATCAGATAACATGGTCTAATTTACTTTAGATGGTTCATCAAAAAATTAAATGCAGTATACATATGTAAAGATGATTTCTTTTTTTAATTTTTTTTTTTTTCATATATATATGTATTTTTCTTGAGAGCTCATATCTGTTCAGTTTCATATCCAAAACATAAAGCAAATTCTAAAGAAATAGTGGATATATTTTCAATCCAAAATTTATATTACTTGCCTTGATAAAGTCCCTCGGAGGATTAAACACATTGACTAAGATAAGTTTCCTTTCTTTTTTATTACTTTAAATGTTATTGTAGTTGTCATTTCTTATTTGAAATAGATGCCCCATTTTTTATTTATTTATTAAACAGCTCGTAATACTTGCTTTTGTTAAATAAGGTAAAAGATGCCTTGCTTACTGTGAAGTACTTCATGGCCAAGTGGTAAAGCATACCAGATTAAATAATAGTTTTCTCTACAAAGAGGGGCTTGGGTTCAATCCCTACTAGAGGACACATTTTCTTTACTTAGATTTCTCGAATGCACAGGCCAATAGATGTATTACACACTGTTTAATAAATAATTTAAAAAAAGAATTATGTGTTTATTTCAAATAAGTGTTCGCTTTAATAACATTGGAAACAATAAAAATGTCAGATTAAAAATAAATCCATTATTTCTTTAGAAATATATATATACTGCTGGCAAACACTCTATCAAAATTTGAAATATTTGTGTTTTATTTGATCTAATATAGAAATTACACACAAGTGTGTTTAACGATTTCAAAGATGGCTTCTTTTTTTTTTTTTACTGTTCCATCTGAAATGACAATGAAAACTATTGTTTATAAAATTAACATTCATTTTGATCCAAGTAGAAACAATAAAGAGATAGAAAAAAAAAGGGCACATCAGTTTTAAATTCTCTTTTCTTTTGAGTTTTCTTTTATTAAAACTGACAATATAGTTATTGCAATATGCTCATCTCCCTTGTGTTGTGTTGGAGGAGAACACTGCATGCTGATTGACAGGCCACTGTTATTCTACACTGCTGCTGCCACTCCGTGGTTTGGTCTCCACTCTCCCATGTCTGTTGCTTTGTTTGACCGTTGTGCCATATTTGCTCATCATCCATTTATACATCTCTTCCTCACTCTGCTTACTAACTAATCCTCATCGTGGCTTGCCTGCTTAATTTTCCCAG